GCCAGTTAGAGACAAATGCTTCGAGGAGGAGGTGATGTTACAGGCTTTACAGAAGGGCTGTGGGACAAAGCAGGAAGAGGGAGCTTGGTCCAGGTGAGGTGATACTGAGACCACAGAGAGAGGGGAGTGCTGTATTTTCTTTGAAGCCAAGAAAGCTCAGAGGGAAAAGAGACAAAATCCGATCCTCCTCGAGAAAGATGAGACTCTCTTTTTTCTCCCTCCCTCCCTCCTCCCTCCCTTCCTCCCTCACTCCCCCCTCCCTCCTTCTCTCCTCCCTCTGCACCATCAGTGCATCCTGAACTTTGGACAGAGTAAGCAAAAGCTCATCAAGGAAAAGAGGCCCAAAAGAGGGTGTGGAGGAAGATACCAGGAGGGTGACTCTGGGGCAGTCACCATGGGCCGTCATGCCCCTGGAGCTCAGGTGGTGGGGGCGGGGGGGGGGCAGGCTAAGAAGGACATCTGACAATTTGACAAACTGTGCAGGTCCAAGTGGGAGGTGCCAGGCCACACAGAGTCAGGGCTCCCGATATGGTTAGGAATGGTGCCCTGCTTCAAGCAAACCCAAGATACATGGCAATTATCCAAATAATCTATATCTCATGAAAAACACTGTACAAAGATTGACCCCCTCCTGGGACATCTAAAATTATTACTTGAATTGCACCATTTTAGCCCCCAGCCAGATCCGGGGAACATATCAAATGCACAAAGCCTATTTTCATGCGAAATGTGCGAATGACAGGTTATTGAACTCCTGGGTCTTTGTTTTGTCACCCATCTCCTCTGTGACCTCAGAAGCCCCATGCCCAGGACAATTTGCTCCACAGATGGCCTGGACTCCTTCTAGATGACACGGGCTGCAGAAATGGGGGTTGTGCTGCTAAGGGTTTGCTTGGCAGCCTAGGCCCGGGGCTGGCAGGTGTCCCCCCTCCACAACAGGAAGCTGAAGCACTGACAGGGTAGGCTCCCTTGCTTGGGGGCACCAGCCCTGGCATCACCAGATGTGAGCAGTGGAAGAGGCTCAGAGACCTTAGTCCAACCCCGTCCTTGCTGGGAGTTCCTCCTAGAAGATTCCAAAGGCTGCTCTGTGGCTGTGTGGGCGTAGATAGCCTGGCCACTCGTCTGGTTCCCACTCCTGCCCACCCCTGTCTGCACACATTGCCAGGCCCTGTGCCCCTTGCCCCGGACTTTACCCTTCTCCCTCACCCCTTCCTCGGAGAGAGACGTTTCCACGCGTGGGTTGTACTGATGATGCTCATCTAATCCAAGGGGCTTGGAATGATGGGTATTTTCTGAGCGAGGCCTCTGGGAGAAAAGCCGACCTGACTCAGTGCTTCTGGCGAGTGGGGTAAACAAAGGCACGGTCTGAGAACAAGTGGCCATACAAAGAAGCTAGTGGTGAGGGTTAACAGGAAGCCGTCGGCTAGCACACAGCATTCTACTCACCGTCTTCCCTACCTTCCTCAGCCCCTCTTGGCACGTGTCCTCTGAAACTCAGCCACAAACTCGCAGGTTCCTTGGTGTGCAGGGCATTCACAACCTCACCCCCTGGCCTCCCAGGCCCCCGATCCCTCCCTCCACATTCTCATGTGCTAGCTACACTCATCCACTGAACGTGGGCGCCAGTGGTGGGCTTGGCGGCTTCTGGGCCTTTGCACCTGCTCTTCCCTCTCCTAAAACACGCTGTTTCTCTGAGACGCTACTCATCTTTCAAACCCAAATCGGACCTCCCTGCCTGGAGTCTTCCCTGGGTCCCCACAGAGAGGGTTAGGCTGTCTCAGGGAGAGTTGCCAGCCTCCCTGAGGGATGGTTGACTTTGTTGCACTGTAATTAATCGCTGGCCCTCCTGTCTAACTCCCCTGCCAGAGTGACCCCCTCGGGAACTCCCGCTGCACCCCGCAGTAGTCGGCACTCAATAAACTGTCATGTGAGCGAAGAAATGAAGGAATGAGCTGGCGGCAGCTTGAGAAAAGGAAACAGAGATGCCTCCTTCCTGGGGAAACCGACCTCTGAGCACCTTATTTGGGGAGTCCTCTCCAGAGGTCGGCTTCAGGCACTGCTTCTCCCCCTCCTGCCCTCAGTGCAAGGAAATTCCTCAAGAGGCTGTACCACCTGCCCGGCTCCTCGAGGGATTTCTTCCTCGCCAATGGCTCGCTTGTGGCTTTTCTGGTCAGTCCAGCGCAGGGCTTGCACATGTGCTGGGGACTCATTGCCCGAGAAAGCCTGGGGATCTGGTGTGGGTTAAATCAGAGGAAGGACCTTACCCTGTGCAGTGAGATGAGAGAGCACACCCAGGGCTGCAGCAAGAACAGACAGGAAGGTGAGGCTCCCAGGTTTAGGGAGGATTCCTTTTTGGGGTGGGGGCGGGGGGGAATCACAAGGACAATTGATTGGGTTGAGGTTGGGTGGTGGGGGGGGGGCTCGGGGGGCTCGGCAGGGGTGGGGACTGAGGGAGTGAATGTATGGGGCTGGCAGTGGGAAGGGAAGGTGTGGGCGAGGTTTCACCGGGAGGGAAGAAGGGAACAGGAATGCGGGTGGCTCGGTGGTCCAGCCCTGCAGCAGCTGAATCTTCAGTCCTTGCAAGGATCTGCAGGGAAAGCTGGAAAAAGAAAATGAATTAAGGAAGCACAGGGGCCAGGATCTTGGTGGAGGGCACAGTAGCTTGGAAGTGCTAACTGGCGCAGAGGTTGCTGGACGCACAGGCGGAGAAGCAGGAAATGGACTTTAGGGCGAGGCCCATGCTGGGAATGGTTCTGGACATTCCCCATCTTCCTCACAACACAGCCTTTGGGGAGCCCGAGGGATCTGGGGCCCAGGGTAGGTCCCTGAGGGACCCTGGCCCCACACAGCTGAGCCTGTTTCCCCACCGGCCCCCACCCCACCCCTGGTAGTTTGGATACTAATAGCCCGGCACCCCAGGAGGGGGCGAACGGGGATCCATTTGTTTTTCCAGAGTTTGACCTCTGGGTAAAACTCTTCCCCCAAAATGTGCCGGTTTAAGTGAAAGCGATAAATCAGCCCCTTTGAAATGCAGAAGCAGCTTGGGGAAGCCCCCTTTGATATGCAATTTGGAAACGGGGCACTTAAAACCTGGGATAATTCTCCGTCCGGCTTTATTGGAAGCCGAGAAAGGGAAGAGGAGGAAACCCAGGGCCACTCATTAAGTCTGGGGCACTTGAAAGGCCTGGGGCAGGGGCCGAGCGGCCGCTAAGAGATCACGAAGGCACAGCGGCCCTGGGAAAAGCATCCCTGTCCCCGACCAACTCTAATCCCGGTTCCCACCCAGACAGATGAGACGCAGGGGGTTGGGGGGCGGTGGAGCGGAGGGGCGGGCGGCCTGGGAGAGGCTCCCGAGGATGGGGAGGCGGTTGCTGTGGAAACGGAGTCGGGGCGCCGCACAGGAGAAAGCCAAGGGCCAACCTGGCAATTTCCTGAAAGAAAAGCTGAGAATTCCAGAGTGTGTGTCTCACTCCCTAGGCAGCTCCTCTCTCAGAGACCTGGGGGTTGCAGCCCCTCCATGGGAGCCAGGCGGGATGGCTCGCCTGTGGTTGCCTCCGGGGCCCTGGTCTGGGCCCTTCATTAGAAACATCTGCTCGCCGTGGCTCTCCATGTCACAGAGCGGGCTGAGGGCTCCGTGCAATTTTCAGGCAGGGGTGGGGCTCTGGGGACAGGCGGCTTCCACCATCCCACTCCAGAAGGGAGGAAAGGCTGAGTGTGGGGACACAAGGCCCCGAGGCCACTTGGTGCCGCTGAGGTGACCCTGTGTCCTGGATTTCAGGATGGTTCCCACTGCTATCCCCACAGGTGACAAGTCCGTGTCTTGGATGGGTCAGGCAGAAGGCTCCGATGTGAAGCTGGGACAAGCAGCCGGGTAACCCTATAGTGGGATTCCCTAGAGCTTCCGAAGCGTAGCACCCATGGCTGCTGGCCAGTCCTGCCTCCTCCAAAGGGCCACTGGCACTGCCGTGGGCTGTGGGCGGGGATGTGCGGGAGACGGTTTGGTTGCTGCCCTCCCAGCCCTGCTCTGCCTGCTCTGTTTTCTGTTGTGTGTTGTTTTGTGCAGGGAGGTAGGTGGGTGGTGGAGGATGGGAGCTGAGAAATTAAAAACCTGACCCTTCAGAGCTTGGTCCTCCCATTTCAGACAGGCCAGGGCAGACAACAGCTGACAGGCTCTTGTCACCTCCTTCCCCCCGCCGACCTTGGGGTGCTGAATTCTGGGGAATGCATTCATCATGCAGCTGGGCTGGCCGCCCCACACAGGTCCTGCCTCAGTGGGCTGGGGGCGGGGGGTGCTTGCCTGCAGAGATGCTCAGGGTGAGCTTAGCAGCCAGTGACAGAGGCCTTTTCTGAGCCCTCAACACATCTCCCCAATCCCTCCCTCATTACGGGAATCTAGAACCCGTGTCCAGTTGAAGGAATTTCACCTTCCCCTTAGGCGCCAGCCCACCTTGGGCCACGCAGGGCCTCATGGGGCTGCCAGGATCTCCCCAAGCCTTTCCCTGTGTTAGAACAACATGCTTACAATTGCAGACCTACCCTAGGTCTCAGACATAGAGTCAACTAAATAAATCACAGAAATGACTCACTTTAAGCTCTTTTAACTCAGGGCAAGCTGAAAGCCCCTGAAAGGCACGAGCAAAGCAGGGATTTTTCTGTCTGCCACTCCTTACCCCTGAGAAATGGGAGGGAGGAGGGGCAAAGGACCAGGCGCAGCTCCCACAGAGCTTCTGCCCACCTCCAAGTTCCTGTCCTGCCCTTGGGGGTGGCCAAGAGGACGGAGGCTTCCCTGTACCGCTTTGTCATGCCTCTCTCTGCGCTAATCACCTTCAGTCTCTAGATTAAATTAAATTAAATGACTGGAGCATTTCAGCAGGGTCGAAGCAGCAGGAGCTGGGATAGACAAGCTAGCTCCATGGTCTTCTAGAAGCCCAGGGCAGAGGCACCATTTTGTTCTCGCTTCCTCCCCAACTGCAGGGAAGGAGGGGCTTGGGAAAGGCGGGTGGGGAGCCAGGCTCACAGAATGCCTGCTTGGAAGCAGAGCCAAGGGGGATTAAGAAATTCGGGCAGGCCAACTGGAGCTACAGTCCACTGAAGGCCCCACAGACAAAAGGACAGATGATGGAAAAAGAGGAGGTATGTGGGTCCAGAGAAAGGAAGGCAGGCGAGAAAAGGCAGACCACAGTGGCTGGGGGAAATGTCAGAACCAATCCCTGGTCAAAGGCCAAATTTGTATGGTCTGAGGTGTTGCTGGGAAAAAGAGCTGTGGTGGCAGTGGTGATGGTGGGCGGATGAGTGTGCCTGGCTTTGTGTGTGCAGGAGACGGGAGCCTGTGTGTGTACACACACATCCACACACACACGCACACACACACGCGCACACACACACACACGGCTATTGGGTAGGCGGGTGCCAGAAACTGCCGCATTCCTCCTAACCCCAAAGCCAGTCTCCTTTCCAAAATGCTTTCTCATTATTCGCAGGCACATTTTTCTCCACCACACTCGGCTCTTGTTTCTATATTTCTATATGCTTGCTGCCGTTGAGACTCTTCCCTGCTCTGTAATGCAACTGTAAAAACACCTGCATTTTATTAATGCTGCCTGGAGCCGGGCGGGCTGGGCCCCTCTGCGCTCGCCCCCTGCTCTCCTTCTCCACCGTGCTCAGTGAAGCACAGCACCAGCGTTAACCCTGTGTGGCTGGGTCTCTGTCCCGGACCCCTGGGTACCCGGAGGGGTGCAGACCCTGCAGAGGAGCTGGGGATCCCCTACGTCCCCGAGATGACGTGGCAGGAGCTCGGGGGCCTGCCCTGGCTCCATGCTTTCCTTGCCCTGGACCTTTGATCTGTTTCTCTTATCACTGCTCCTCAGTTTCTCTCTCCAGAATGTGAGAACACCATTTTGTCTTGAAAGGAATCCTGGCAGACTTCTAAGACAAACTCCTTAAGAAGCCTGGCCCTTTAAGTATCTACTCTGTCCTCTTGCCTCCAGGGGCCACTGAGACGGAACCATTCCAGAAAAAGAGCTGCTTTCCTCTTTAAAATATTTTAAATAAGGAAAGCATAAAGAAGAAAAATGCCCCGGAGCGCCTGGGTGGCTCAGTGGGTTAAGCAGCTCCCTTCGGCTCTGGTCATGATCCCAGCGTCCTGGGATCAAGTCCTGCGTAAGGCTCCCTGCTCAGCGGAGAGCCTGCTTCTCCCTCTCCCTCTGCCTGCCACTCCCCCTATTTGTGCTCTCTCTCTATCTCTCTGTCAAATAAATAAAAATCTTTAAAAAAAAAGAAGAAGAAAAATGCCCCATAATCCTACCACCCTGGGAGTCCTGTTAACATTTCTTTTAATGCAATACATGCACATGACTAAAAAAAAGCATAGAAGGTATCACATGAAACTTAAGTTTTTCTCCCTCAAACCACAGTCGTTCCTCCCAAAGCTAGTAATTCTTAACAGTTTATGTATCCTTCCAGGGAAAGAATTTGGGTATATACTGACATCTTTTTTTTTTTTTTAATTAAAAATAAGTCTGGAATTCTTGCCATATCAGCACATGGAGACACCCTTCATTCTTTTTAATGGTTGCATATTAATTCGTGGTGTGGCTGCACCATGGTTTACTTAACCAGTCTCCGAGTAACGGGCTCAGAGGCTGCTTCCGGTTTAGAATCTTACAAACACTGTTGTAGTGAGGATCTTCGGACATCTGCCTTGGGTGGACATATATGAGGATATCTGCAGGGAAATTCCTATAAGTGCAATGGCTGGATCAAAGGACATGTTCATTTAGCATTTGTCTACTCTTTTTAAAAAAAAGTTGTTTTTTTTTTCCCTGCCCTTCTCCATTTTTTTTCTATCAGGCAAACTCCCAGTCATCTGTTTATTAGAATCCAGCTCAAATTTCTTCTCTTCTGTGAAGCCTTCCCTGACTGATCCAGGAGCCTGCTGACTTCCCCTTCCATGCTTCCTTAGCTTTCTTACTTAAGCCTTATCATAGCTCAATTTTCTAAAGTGTTTGTTCTCCATACAGGATTGCAATATGAGCACACTGACATCTCTCTTGAGGCCTTTTTTTTTTTTTTTAAGATTTTATTTATTTATTTGAGATAGAGCACAAGCGGGGTGGGGGTGGGGAGCGGCAGAGGGAGAGGGAGAAGCAGGCTCTCCACTGAGCAGGGAGCCCAATGTGGGGCTCAATCCCAGAACCCTGGGATCATGACCTGAGCTGAAGGCAGACTCTTAACGGACTGAGCCACCCTGGTGCCCCTGCTTTTGTCTTTTTAAAAATTTTCCTTGTGCAGTTCCTCTCCTGGGTATAGTCCAAAGAGTTGAAAGCAGGGACTTGAGCAGATATTTGTACATCCATGTTCAGAGTAGCATTATTCACAATAGCCAGAAAGTAGAAACAACCCAAATGTCCATGACAGGTGGATAGATAAAATGTGGTACAGTAGTCTCCCTTATCTGCTGTTTTGTTATCCCCGGTTTCGGTGATCTGTGGTCCATTGTCTGGAAATGCATGATCCTCCTGATGTATCTTCGGAGGGTCAATAGTAGCCTAACACTACCTCTCGGCGCCTACGTCATTCCCCTCACTTCTTCTCATCACATAGGCATTTTATCACTTCACATCATCACAAAAAGCGTGAGTATAGTAGAGTAAGATCTGAGAGAGAAACCATAGTCACAAATTTTATTAGAGTATATTGTTATAATTGTTCTATTTTAATTTAATTTAATTTAATTTTTTTAAAAAAGATTTTATTTATTTATTTGAGAGAGAGAATGAGAGAGAGAGCACACGAGAGGGGGGAAGGTCAGAGGGAGAAGCAGACTCCCCGCTGAGCAGGGAGCCCGATGTGGGACTCGATCCCGGGACTCCAGGATCATGACCTGAGCCGAAGGCAGTCGTTTAACCAACTGAGCCACCCAGGCGCCCTGTTCTATTTTAATTTTAGTTGTTATTAATCTTTTACTATCCTTACTTTATAAATTAAACTTTATCATAGGTATGTATGTATAGGGAAAAACATACTATGTATAGGGTTCAGTGCTATCTGTGTTTTCAGGCATCCATTGGGGGTTTTAGAATGTATCCCTTGTGGATGGATATATATAACAGGAGCCCTAAAAGGAATGAAATTAGACACATGCTACAACATGGATGAACCTTGAAGGTATTATGCTACGTGAAATAAGCCAGTCGCACAAAAAGGACAAATATTGGCTGATTCCACTAATATGAGGTACAAAGCCTAGTCAAATTCACAGAGACAGAGAGTGGTATGGCGGCTGCCAGAGGCTGGGGAGTGAGAGAATGGGGGGTTAATGTTTAATGAGCACAGAGCTTCAGTTTGAGGAGATGAAAAGTTCCGCAGATGGATGGCGCTGATGGATGCTCAGAATGTACCTCATGCCGCTGACCCGCACGCTTAAACATGGAAGTTGGCAAATGTCACGTTATGCATATTTCACCACCATGAAAAAATCGTACCATGTCATAGACTCAAAGTTGTTTGCAAGCTCTCTCCATGGGTCAACGTTACCATCCCCTTACTTCAAGGCAATGCTGACCCATCCAGGATGGGAGAGTACTTATCCTATTTTCAGATATTTCCGGGGAAGGGAGCCCATTACGTTATTAGGCAATCTTTTCCAGTGTCTCAAAACCCCAGACATTCTTGGTACCAGACCTTTGCTGCTGCACCTGAAGTTAATTTTTTCTTGGTCAGTAAGTGCTTTGTCAGGCTACTGACTCTTCACACACTCAGAGGCTCTGGTTACTTCCCCCGCCCAACCCCCACCCAGTGTCTGGGCCAAGGGCACCAAGTAACAGGCTCGTGGGTGGACTTTAAGGGCCTCATGAAACTCCCTTGCATCTCACTAGTATACTGGATGGAAGGAGCCCACCCATCTCTCACCTTATTTGAGATGCAGTTTGCGGGGTACTAGAGCTTTTCTCTCTCTCTTGGTTCTCGCCTCTGCACCCTTCTGTTGAAGGTCTTTTGCTGACAGGGTGGAGCCCCCCCAAAGACCAGGGGCAGAATGGGTGACTCATTTCAGTAAGCCCCTTAGACTCTCCTTTGACCAGAGACCACACGGCCCCTTAATGAGCTGATTGGAAGGGGTACTTGGCTGGTGTGTTCTTCACGGCCTGGAAGATGCTGACCTTGTCAGCTTAGAGACATCAAAGGGCTAATGAGGGAAAAATAGGGGCTGAGAGAGACACCATCACCTGGGTGCCTGTTGACTGCAGGCTTGCAAGGCCCTGACGTGGCTGAGAAATGTTGTCAGGAACTCGGAGGAAGTGGGGCCTTCTCTGTTGTGAGGACCTACTCCCAACCCCCTTCTGGGGCACAGGAAGGGGAGGGGGCGAAGCTAAATGGCAGCCCCGCGCTCAGTGGCTCAGAAGTCACTGCTACCACAAAGGGAAATCCGTGTGGGGGTGGGCACTTCCAGAGACCTCACTCACCTGCAATTCGGGGGCTGAGAACATCACCCCTGTCTTCCTGTGCCAGACCTGTCAGCCTCGGCACATTAGTCAACGGTCTTGGGGTGGTGCTGGCATTTCTGATTTCAACTCATGGTTTATATGAAGGACCTGGCCTCAAGAAGAGGCTGACCTCTGAGGAAGACAACAGCCCTCATAGGTCCTTCAACTAGAGTGGAGATGAGGAAGGAGAGTCCCCGCGGGTCAGCCCAGTACCTGGGGTTTCATATGAACTAGACGCTGCACACTGACATTCCTGGAGTTTGTGCATGATAAGCTGGTCTCCGTCCTTTACGTTTCCCAATAAGCTGGAATGTGGAACAGAGTGAATTCCAGATGCTCTGGTAGAATTTTCATTATATTCAGGTGGCTCAAGGGCTATCCTCTACCTATAAGCATTTTGGAAATGCTAGTATTCGTATTTGGTTGTTTTTGTTTCTTTCCTTAAAATCACAGTGTGTGTGTTTATTTGTTGTTGTATTTATTCCTGTCACACCCTCCCCGCCACCCCCAGACCACCCACCCAAGGAGCTGGTTTCAGGAATCACAGTCATGTGCTGCAGAAGGTGTGGGAAAGGTTGCCGGGTCTCACATGAAGAAAAGGATTATATCTGTGTTATTCACCACTGAAGTCCCAGGACCTTGCACGTTGCA